TGTTAGCGAATCCCAAAGTGCTGTCCTCAAGGTCTTGAATTTCCATATAACAAGGATCATTGTCTTGAATGCCAGCGTTACCAACGTACGTTGGATTTGAATGCACCATAATCTCAGGCAAAGGCGTGACACGTGATTCCTTCTTCAAATATCGTTTGTTATCCCTGAAAGGTAAAAGGAAGTTAGTAAGTGAAGAAAAAGTTGAAGCAAAATTTGCGAGTAAAGACAAAAAGAAAATTCGTGGGTGAAGCTCGTGAAAACAAATTGAAATCTGGATGAAATATTAATTCTGATAAACGTTAAGGTAGCTCTGAGCCCTCTTAAATAGCTCCTTTGTTAATTTACAAAACTTTCCATCTCTATCATGAGCTCATATAGCACCATTCTTTAGATAAGAGATAATCATATAAGTCCCTGTGTTCATTCCAGAGGTGTTTTTGACATTTTGTTTCTGTTGCCGCGAAAAAGCTTTTTGTTGTTGTAGTTGTTGTTCTTATTTTTTTTGGTAAAGGACAGGTTCAAGAAGCTAAATATCACAATCGAATAAGCAACGTTATCGCAGATAAATTCCCATCATCAGAATGCAAAGAACGTAGAAGAAATAAATTGGAAGTAAAGGATCATCTTTTATCGACATAATGGGAATGTCGCTTTGGTTTTTTTTTAGGCGATTTCATCCATAGCTCTCACGATGTACTTGCACGTATACAAATCAAACATACTGCACTCTTCAACTACCAATTTATTATTTATTCAATACGATGCTAGAGGTAATACAAACTTACATGTGGTATTTCTTTTTATAAAAGACGTATAATAAAACCAATGCGATGAAAATCAGGAATCCTACTACGATGCTTGAGACCACGATTGCCATTGGAAAGCTTCCTTTTGTATTGGACGTCGCTGAAGGGAATGAAAATATAGAACAAAAGCAAACTCCGATGATTACAACCTAGTATAAAATGAACACTTTTTTCTAGACCTCAAACATACTTTTTCTCTCTTTTTTTCTAGCATCTAAAGGCATCAAATGTTTCTCTTGTAGATTTCAATCAGTTTTGAAGTAGAAGGATTATCAGCAACTCTTGAGAAATCATTAAGTCGTTTGCAAAGGGAACCTTAAATGCTTCACACCGGAAACTCTAAACCATTGTTGGAAGACGAAAGAAAACAGCTAGAAGATTGAACGGATGAGAGAAGTTCATACAGACACAAGATGGAGGAAACAACTACTTTCGGGCAACCTTATTAAGGTTATTCCTCGAAAAATACAGTTTAAAAGACTGGTCACCTGGTGTGCTTAAGAGATACGATGAGCCAAACCGAGCCCATTTATGTCTGGACTGACACTGATCATGCACGTCAATTCATCGGTTCACGGTACATTTATATGGTAACTGGAAGCAGGTGTTTTTAAATTTAAAAGAAGGAAAGAAAGTCTTAAGCGTATGGAAAAATTTGATATATAATTGAAGGAAAAGTTAGGCAATTTTGAACGAAATAGACCCAAGACCGTCCTTGAGTCGTTACCTTCAAGGTTATAATTTGCATCATGGAGAAATGGGCTTCAGGCATACTTTTAGCTATATATATATATATATTTCTTTAAATTTGTCCAATTGAAAGAGCATGATTTTTAGACCAAAATAATGCAATAAAAAAATATAGGTTACCATGCTCGTGCAAGAACTAAACACCACCTTACCTCTTTACCTGGTTCACTTATTGAAAAACAATACCATGTTCTCGGAATGCGCGCGCATATTCGATTGATTACGAGGTTTTCATGCGCAGCACCGGATGCATGGTGTAGTGGAAGAATCACTTAACAGTGAGGTCGATTTGTAGCAAACATTCAAAACAAAAAAAAATTCATGTGACCTTCACAGTTTCCACTTTTTTTGGATCCTCTTCCTCCAAACGTCCTTGTTCCAGGTGGACAATCAAAGCAGAATGACTGGGCCTCTTTATCTTGGTACTGGTCAACTCCGCATGCCTCACAATCAGTGGTGTTGAAGAAGTAGCCAACAGGACAATTTACTAAAATGTAACGAAAATAAAAAAAAAACTTAGGATGCACAGTTGCAGGGGAGGACCTCAGTTAGAGATCAAAATACTTGCGCATTTATAAAATGACCACTTCGTTTTAATATAGCTTTTCATTCTCATCTTAAGGGACAATCTGAGTAATAACATCGCTTTTTTATCTTATAACCATCTCGCCGCTACTCTCTTGCTGTTATTGCTTGTTGTTTGCTTGCTTGTTTTTTTTTTTTTCTGGATTTGGCCGAGTTTTGGCGAACTATCACTCTATCACGAGAAGCAAAAAAATAATATTTAATCATGCTTTTGGAATAGTTCGGGGGCATATTTGTTAAATGGCAGATGCTTCATGTACGAGAGGTCATTAAACTGACATAGATATTATGGAGTTTGGTTTAGAACATCTGGTTGTTTCTTACCGCATTTTGTCTCCTTCAGAACTTGCCCTTGGTCGCAGAGAAGACGCTCTAAACGAATTTGTGGTACTTTTGATGTGTCGTACTCTAAAACATTTCCACTGATGTTCATACTCAGATTTGTGTCGTTAAATACTCTGAGGATTCCTTCCGAAATTTCTTCAGCAGTCTCGTTGACAGCTTCCACTGAAGTATTGATCGGAAGTGGAACCTTCAGAGAAAATCGTACTTTGAGAAAAACTTGAGTTTTTTTTTCCCTTTCTTCTACATCTCTTTTTTTAAGTATTCCAGTTTGGTCTCCACATTCCACGTGCACACTCCCGATTTCGCATTCTTCTGCAGAACCACAGCCAATCAGAGGACCCCAAAAGTTCACGTAAAGAGCGATAAAGTTGCTTGAAATCTGGGAGTGAATTTCCTCGCTACATTGATTAGCTAGATAGTAAAGCTGAATGTCGAGCAAAGTTTTTGCCGGGCGCGTTTCTGCAAAAAAGAAAAAAAAGAAAAAAAGCTAAGTCAGATCAACCGGCAATCTATTAAAAGTTAGCAAACAGGTGAGTTACGATGTCGTTTGTTAAGTACTTAAATGCTAGTTTTTCCTTTTCTAACCAATCTTTTAGTTTTCAGTGTAACAGTTAGAGAATAACATGCTACATTATTTACCGCCTGGGGGGAGGATGGATGAAGAACAAACGAATATGACCAAAAAAGTGAGGGGCGGGAGAAAGGAAGGTCAGGTAAATTTTAACGCGACTTCTCTTCCACTCCCCAGTCGATAAATAGGGACCAGTCCCTTACCGAACTCTGGTTGCCATTCTTAATTGATCAATTTTACAAAAATGTTAAAGAACAGACATAAACATACTTGAACAGTCTGGCACTTCGTTATTTGGTAACCATTTCCTGCTTCGAATCCCGCATGTGTAGTACGATGGTGGTTTGTGAGCGAAGTCGTATCCATCGTTACAATGAAGTGTGCACATCTTTCCAGCGTCCAACCACAGGTCGCATGCCTTAGCGCCGTTAAATGGTGAGCGTAGCTCGGTACATCCAAGATCTTTCCAAAAGAGAAGGAAAATGACAAAGGTAAAGAAAAAAGACGGAAGAGTAGAAGTAAAAATTTCTTTCCATTTTGTGGTGGCGCACTTTCAAAGCTGAACTTAATTACTTTTTCAGTTTCAAAACAACATTTTAAGAGCCCTCATTTAGGCGGCTCTTATTGCGCCAGTGACTGTCTATCCCATGAAAGGTAAAGGTAATACACCGAATGCAAATATGCCGTCCAATTTGAGTTGCCATTGTTCTGCACTGACTAGCCTCTCACAAATGTAATGATCCTTTTGTATTTCCACGTGAAGACGAGGCTAGTCAGTGCAGAACAATGGCAGTTCAAATTGGACGCCATATTTGTATTCGGTTTATAAATGCTTTACATACCTGTAATCTCAATACGGAAGTCGCAAGTAGCCCTATTTCCTGCGGCATCTAATGCAGTGTATGTTATGTTGTGTTTTCCCCATGTAAAGTCACTTCCATTTGGCCTACTCGTCATAAACTTGAAGACACCAACATTATCTGTGACAACCACTCCAGGGAGAAAGACCTGAGTCAATTTCTTTGCAGAAGTAATATGGATACCACTGGGGCAGGATGAAATCTTGGGAGGCTCAAGATCTATTAAGTAAAAGAAAAAAGAATGATAAGACCACAATTTTACGTAGCTGCTACAAATACTTATTGGTGTTTTGATAGGATTGTTTAGGCGTGTCTTATAGCTTCTGCATTACATATCTTCAGTTCAAAAAATATAATCATATTTGATTATTTGCGTCTGAAACTCCAAGGGGGAGTCGGGTTTTGATCACTTCCCGTAAGTCCAACAATTTTTTTGATTATCTCAAAAGTCGAGATGTGAAACATCAGTGCAGAAGCTCTTCATCAATACGATCACTCCACCATTCCACTCTTTTACGAGAGTGAAATTCGAAACTTAATGATTACTTGTGGATTCGCTCTCGGCAACAAATACCCCGCTTACCTTTGACAGTGATTGCAAATCTGCAGAAAGATTTAAGTCCGGAAGAATCAGTTGCTATGTAATTAATATAATTCCTGCCAACATTCAGCTTTTGTGGGGGCATTAAACCGCTCAGAATTGGCTGCTTTTTGGAGTTGTCAGTTGGAACCGGTATGTTCCAAGTCACCCTAGCATATGACTGACCAGTTTCGGTGGGCTTCTCCAAGGCACTTGGACAGCGAATGCTGGGTGGCTGTATATCTGTAAATCATCAAAAGTTTGCATGGTCGATGTAAGATAAACCTGAATTATTGTTTTTCATTCGTGTATCATTTTTTTCCAAGCAAAGTTAACAAAGGGGCTTTCTTTATAGTAGATCCACCAAATCATCTTCTTGGTGACTGAGAGCATTTCCTTACAGCCAAGCGCCGAGAAGTACTTGCCGAATAAAATTATTCGAAAGATATATCGTAATTGTTTTTCTCTACCTCTACAGACCGTCTCGCTAATATTTGCGCTCCATAATCCACTCTCAAGGCAGGAAACATTTCTTGCTCCTTCCAGGCGATAACCAGCCGTATCATTACACCATAACAAGCATTGTGTTTTATAGTATACGCCAGAGGCCGACATGCATGAACTGGGAACAAGTAGTCCGCGAGACGGTGGGGCAATGGCTGGACACTTGACCACTAAGGGAAACAACCATGTAACGTTAGTGCGGTGTTGTGTGCTGAGTTATCTATGAGATTTTTCTTAATACTGGATATTTCGTTAGAATATGTCAGAGGTTCTCTACGGTTTCATTCTAAACTGCAGTTTTTATTCAAATTGCTTCAGCCTCACAATTATCAGAGTGTGTAATTCCCAAGACTTTTTTTAAGACGTCTTACCAGCTTTATTCAGCCTGGATGTCAATTTCTCTTTTAGAAATACAAAAAAGAAAACTAGATGCGATTCGCATTAGCTTACTTTCGCATTTTGTCATGTTTCCAGACCACTGTCCATCTTCCTTGCAAAAGCGCTGACGATACCCAACAATTCGAAATCCTTTTTTACAAGTGACAACAGCCTCGGAACCAAAGGAAGAACCACACGAGAAGAGTACCACTCCATTGATTGGAGGTTCGAGTGTCACGCAAGACTTTCCTGTGGGTGAGATATGCTTTCCGTTACCACTGCTTAGAATCCATCAATAGATTAAAACCCTGCATTGAGTCTTTTTTCGATGGATGAGAAGTATTCCGCCAACTTATCTACCAGTAGCACCACTTATACTCTTCGGAATTGATATGGGGTTTATCTCTTTCTCCGAAACATTGACCGAAATATGAGGTTATCCTAGATAAATCAGAGCGCAGGCTTCAAATACACTATAACTAACTATTTGTTCAATGAAAATCCATCGTGTATGTTCATCCTAGATATTAACAACCTGCTGTTGATATCTTTTAAAAGAGCACTGCTACAAAATAGATATCATACTCGCAATTTGGACAATGAAAGTGCAGTTGACTCTGTTTTTACTGCTGTCTGACGCTGAGTATAGGACATAGTACAGGCCAATACTCAGGTTGATCGGGGGTCGAATTAGTGGGTAGCCGATCGTCAAATGACCAGAGTTGTCAGTGGCAGTTGGCTCAATCCAATTGACAGAAGCTGTAGAGGAACATTCAGGAGCATAAACCACCATATTACCGGGACAAGTGTCATGGAAGGAGGGAGGAGTATTGTCTGCAAAGTAAATTAAAACATTACAGGGAAATAAAATGACTAGTACTGGAATTAGCCAATGTGCTTGAAATTTGCTTAGATCATATATAAAAAAGATGATAATCGAGGAATGCAGACTACCACTGGTGGGAGCCAATGAATCGCTTCAAACTGATTATTTTACAGGTCGTTCCATGTCCTCCGCGTACATTTTCCGATATCTTTCACATAGAACATAACATCCCTCGACGGTTGTCTGTATATTTGAAACTTTAATCGTGAAACTGAGCTGAGTTCCATCCAAACACTGAGAGCATTCGCATGGAAGCTGAAAGCACTCATATGTAAATATTTCTGATCTCTCTGTAAATTTGTCTTCATTACTCTCACTTTTGTTGTAACTGCTGTCAAGAGGATTAAGAAATAATTAATCTAGTCTTGAAATTTGTTCCAGGCTCGACTATCCAATGCAATCTCTTTATGCTCTCCACTATATTATTTAAGCAATATCCAATGCCATGACCAGCAAATTGGTAATTTATACAAAGTATTTCGGAGATCAACCCTGACAGGGTAAAGGGGGGAGGGGGGGATAAGTGCCCCAAAAAATGTTTCTTGGAGTGTTGCTTCACCTTTTGAGGTAGTCAGGATGATTTTTTGAAAATAACTGAGGTTTGGATTTAATGCTGGCCTTTAATTTCAATCATAGGCTTACCTCTGCATCTGGTATCGTTTGACCCAGTCCATGAACCTCTGTTATTACATACTCGTGACACAGTCCCATCAAGAACGTATCCGGGTGTTTGACAAGCAAATTGGCAAGTCTGGGTGTAATTACTACTCGATTGGCATGACAGTGGAAAAACGATTCCGTTTTTCGGAGGAACGAGCGGTCCACATTTAATCACTGCATAAAAAAAGCCAAGCTATTCAAATTGTGTCTATAAGTAATATTATTGCTGTCGTTATCGCCAGCAGGTTTTTTGTACGCTATTAAGGGTAATTGTGCTATTCTACACTCTGCGGTCAAATTCTTCGTCAACGAGCAACCCCTTTAACTTAAACTCTAAGCATGAACACTCCATCCCTCTCCTCAGAATAGACTGCGGCGACCTGTCTACTAATAAGGCCCTTAATAGATTATGTAAACAGAAGATTCTTTCTAGTCCGTAACGAAACGATCGCTTTTCGATGCTTTTAAGGACAATTATTCTTTTGTTTTTCACCTCAGGTACCGTAGTTTTCTCTTGGGAGTTCATTTAGCTTTTTAGATATCTATTTATATGCATTTTTCAAAGAAATCTTAGTCTAAATGATATAAATTCGCGAATCATGGATCCTTCAGTTGAACGACGGGGCCTCTAAAACTGTCGCATTACAATTAGCCATGACGACTAGTCTATCTAGAAATTTAGCCAAAGGCAAGCTCTGCACTCTCAAGTAACTTCCTCCAACCTGAACAAGAAGACGTTTCTCCACTCCAAGTGCCGTTCTCCAGACAGTGCCGAATAGATGAACCATAGAGATTATACCCAACGTCACAAGAGAAGCTACATCGTGAGTCATATGGCTCAGAAATATTGTCAAGGCAGCCAAATTTAAATCCATTCAATGGGATGGGAAGCGATGAGCACTCAACAACTGTAGAGAACGAATAAGAGGAGGTATATGGGAAGATAAATTAGAAAAAAATAGACAAATAACCGAATAAAACAAATAAGCAGAATAAAAACAAAACAAAACAAAACAAAAGACAAACAAAGACATTACAAAACTAAACAAAAAAGCAAAACAAAATAGAACAAGTAAAAAAAGAAAAAAGACAAAAACAAAACAAAACAACACACAAAAAAAACCAAGGGAGTCTTCCGTCTTTAACTTTACTTTTGCATGTCGGTGAAGGACTGTCCCAGAACCCTGGTGGTTTGTTAGCGAGAGAAACACACTGGACTGTTGAGGAGCCATTCAAACGATAACCAGTGGGGCAAGAAAAGTTACATTGCGCTCCATAATGACTGCTGCAACTGCTCATGCGCAGCACGTCTCCTGAGTTCACCATTAACGCTGTGCAGTTGATAACTAATGACAGAACGTGTAAAAGAAAGTATGTTGGTAACAAAGCAGTATTCCTATGGGCCACATCGAGCCAGTTTAGAGATATATATCTTTAAAATACAAAAAAGTCGTTAAATTCCCGGTATGAACACATGGCCTGTAAGAGGAGGGGGTGGATAACCGATAAAGCCAAGCACAGCAAAGTCAAAACAAGGAGAGCTACTAAACAGTCAATTGATTTTTGACGTAAGTACTTTTTCTCCCGGCAGTGCATTGAATTTTAACATGCCATATCATCTCACAATGATAAAGACACAAAAGATATCTGTATTTTCATATGTTTTTTGTTTGACAAAAGATATCTAGTGGACATACAAGAAAAGAGCCTAAACCATTTTTTACCTATCACTTTAATCGTGAAACTGCAGATAGCCCTATTTCCTGATTGGTCCTCTGCAGAGTACGTGATCACGTGGGTGCCTTGATTAAACCTTTGGGGGGGTTGGTAATTTGATGTCATTGCTACAACTCCCGAGTTGTCGACAGCGACCGGCTCGGTCCAGTTCACATAGGCCGAGAACCTTCCACGCTCTGCATATATCAACAAGGGACCTTGAGGACAAGTAGCTCCAAAGGACGGGAATAGAATATCTGAAATATGAGTAGATATGATGTCACTTCGCCAGTCTTAAGAAAGATTAAGAGACAATAGAATTATTAAGCACTGAGGTCAGAAAGAAGCCGAATGAACCGTAATGAGTAACTATATTATCTAAAGCTTATCCTAAATATGCACAGAATTTACCTCCCTGGATATTTTCAAATCAAAGTTTTCGTTTTTGGGTAAACTAAGTGGCAAGATGGAATGTTTTATCAACACCCTTAATTCGCATCAGATAGAAACCTAGACACCGCATTCCAGCCATGGCGAATTAGCTTTGTTGGAGTTAAGCTTAGGTTGATGAATTCACGGCCTAGAATTGGCACTTCACCAATAGACCTAATCAGTACGCCTTATTGATGTTCCTGTACCTGTGCAGTTGATGATATTTGTACTCCAATTTCCAGTATGCAAGCACGTTCGTGTTTCATTTCCACTGGGATCTCCATAACCACTTTCACAACCAAACTTGCAATTTGATCCATATGTATTGCCACAGGAAGCATTGAAGATTACGGCTTTTGGTGGAGTTGTCAGAGGTGGGCAGGTTACGGCTTTCAAAGAAGACATACATATATCTTATTAACCAAGCGAGGGCCGTACTGGGATAATATTGGCCCGAGGTCTTGATAGTACGGACCGAGCGCAGCGAGGTCCGTACAAAAAAGACCGAGGGCCGATATTCTTCCAGTACGGTCCCGAGCAAGCTTGGTTAATAAGAGATTTATTATACGACTGAAGTTCAAAGGGACACAAGTGCGGTATCATTCGGGACTATTCGGGACAGTGCCCGGTCCAATACTGAGAGAATATTGACCGGCAATAGAACATTTTGATTGCTTGATTTTAGTTACTGGCCCTCTGACTGCCCGAGTCGGGTAATACACGAATATTATAAAACTCTAGCTCTGAAGTATTTCTTTTTGTAAACGAATACAGTTGTAGCAAGAGTTAATTGCATTTTTACCTTCACAAACAAAAGATTGGCCGCTCCAAGTTCCGTTTTCTGTGCATTTTCTCGAAGAGGAACCAATTGGGTTGAACCCAGTATGACAGGAGAACCGGCAGACGGTGTTGTAATATTCTTTATCCGTTCCTGTGCAGCCCTGCCGGATTCCATTCGCAGGAGTTGGCAAAACTGTGCAAGGGATAGCTAGAAGAGATTTTAAGTCATTCAAAAGACGCGTGTGTTTGATATTGTGCTAATTTGGATATTTTTCTTTCTGTGTATCTTTATCTGTACAGAGAGTCATAGGCTTTTCTTCTCATAATGTTCCAGGGAAAGTATAGTCTTAGGTTAAAAAAGAAAATGGACTCAAAAGTAAGAAATACTAAACAAAAAGATCAATTTGTTTCCCTAAACCTTTAGATCCTCGGTGTGGGGATGAAGTTTACGCTTTTTAGACTCAGGCAAGCCCAGTAGGACAATTTTTTCCATTTCTTCTCTACTCTAGATAAACCCACATCGCCTTCAAATTTGCCTCTTCAGCGGTTATGATACATTCTGCCCGATTTTCCAATTGATAAGTACCCTTTTAGCCTATCGCGAACGGTTGGATTGAAATACTCACGGTTGCACTGAGTCTGGGTCCCAGTCCATGTTCCATCATTGCTACATGTTCGTGTAGATGATCCAGCCAAGATGTATCCTCTGTCACAAGAAAATTGACATGTTTTCCCTGGCAAATTGGAACATGGCTCCCTACTGCCGTGGTTTGGTGCAAATAGCTGCTGACAACGATTAACTATTTGACAGAGAATAAAATATCAAACAAGGGAATGACCACACTTCGCTATAACGATATACACAAGCCAGAGGAACTTATTAGAATTAAGCACTGGAGTTTATGTCGAGATCATTTTAAGGTTACTTCCTACCTTCGCGAGTGTCCTTCGGTAAAAAATTCGTACGGGAGCTAGTTTGAGGATAACCCTAAAACAAAAGTGTGTCAGGCTTTTCCGATATTCTGATTGGTTGTCTAGATATTCGCATCTAAAGTTAGAGTATTCCTCTCAAAATTAAACGCGAGATTTTAGCTCCTAAAGGTTTGTAAATAAGTAGCGCCACACAAGGAGATTATCTCGCCTCCTGAAACCGCAAACCAATGAGAAGACGAGACCTCCTGCCGTCAATGACAATGGATTAAGATTTTTCCGGGAAAAGTATCCCGTAGCAGTCAACTCTTTTTTATCTTGCTCTATTCCTCGTTTAGTAATAGGCAAGGTCGGCAAAGGAAAAACCCGCGGCAGAAAGGGTAAGTCTGTCACATTCTTCTTTTTTTCCATCGGTTTAGTAAACTGCGCGATGAAAACAAAATATGCAAACGACATGAAATTGCCGCGAACATTTCCCCGGGGAGTTCACCCATTTACGAGATCATGACACCTTCCTGATTTATTAACTTTCATTTGAAAATACGTTTTTCTTAATAACTCAGACGCTTTTTGAGATTTTTTCAATTTTTTTTTTCTGTAAACGTTAGTTAAAATGTCTAACTTCAATCTAGTCCAAACAAAAAAAAAAAGAATATTTTTTCGGCCTCTGAAGGTAGGAAGTAACCTTAGAATGTGATGTCGGTAGGGCTGGGTGCAAAGAGACTCAAAGCAGTCAGGGCGAGTATGCAAAAGATACAAGCCCTGTGATAAGAATCATAGAGGTTCTTGACCTAGAAGATAGGTGAAAACTTTAAAATAATATAAATTTACATGTACCTCCTTGGCAAGTAAAGGCATCGTGACTCTTAAGCTGCACTCCTTCAGGACAAAAACATCGATGGCCGTTTGGATTCGGGAGGCAGATGTGACTGCAACCTCCATTCAATTGAGAACAGCTGGTCGATCCTTATTAAATGAAAAGGATTGTCATTTGATATGAATGTAAGCGGAGTAAAATGCTATATTTTGAAGAGTAGCCGACACACGTGAAGGTCTCTCGAGAAATATTAAAAAAGACTGACTCATTAAAAAATATATGAGGTTTAATTTTGGGGAGTCGATTATATGAGATTCCTCTGAGTAGTTATTTTCCTCTTGTGCGATGGCAAGTATAAGGTAAAGGAAGATCCAGTAAAAAATAATCTTCAAATGGAACTTATTCAAAAAATATTTATGACAAGATGGTGTTAGGTCATGTTTCAGATTTTTGTTTTCCTTACATATCTTGAGAATAAAAATTCTTGAGGTACTTGTCTTCTTTTTTCAATGAAAAAAATCACAATTACCTTTGTAGATATCCATTTCATTGTGAATATGTAACTCCATTGGTCTTCCCATACCAAGAACCAACACGTCACTCACATTGGACGTCATGTTGTACGTGTGAACGCTCTGATTATTCCAATCAGACCAGTAGAGCACATGATCAGCTAGTGCCAATCCGAACGGGTGCAGGTTACTGGGTGATAAATCCAACACAACCACGCGGTTATTCCCTTGAAGATTTACCCGTTCGATCTTATCAAGTTTTGCGTCACACCAGTACAGCAGACTATTCTGAAAATCTATTGCGAGCGAGTTCACCCACACGATTCCAGAACTAACAAGAACTGTTCTGTCGGAACCGTCCATGTTCGCTTGTTCGATCTTCGGAGATGTTCCCCAATCACTCCAATACATCTTCCTAAAAGAAGCAATTTGTTTTTGTAAAAATGTGGTGAATATTTACTGCCTTCCCTTTCAAAAAAAGAAAATAAAAAGTAGATACTTGTTTCTCAATGCACAGAGCACGCATCACAGTGGAAATCAGTGAAAGTGCTGCAAATATCATTCAATGCTCCAAACGTCATTAAATATGAGTGCTTTATATAGCAATTCTTCAACGCATTTCACAGGCAGGAATTGCGCAGGGACATGATCGAAAGCTTGGAAATAATTTGAAAATTCATTGATAGTTTCCATAATTGATTACCTTTCTTGAATATCAAGCATTATTGCTCTGGGCTTTTCTATACTTGATGTAATCAGAGCCCTCCGATACGAACCATCCAACCAAGCAACTTCAATTTTACTCGTTCCAGCATCAGTCCAATATAGATTTCTCCCGACAAAATCCACAGCTATTCCATCAGGAGTATCCACGTTAATGTGGGAAATGAGTTCTACGGAAGTCCCGTTAGGAAATGCTCTTGCCAAAACTTTTAAGGTCACATCAGTCCAGTAAATTTTATCCTCAGTAGGATCATAGTCCACCGCCACTGGTCTGGAGATGTTTTTGGTGATTTTTAGGGGATAACAAGGCTTCTCCCGCACCGTAAGCGGAATCTTGTAGATTTCCCCAGAGTCAGCTTCAGCAAAAATCAGAAATTTTTCAGAGCTCGTCGCGTGGAACGAATCTGGAGATCGAAAGTCATCATTAAAGAACAAGTTTTCAACAAAACTTTGTTAATATGTTAGAAACTATAGGATGAGCAACTTTGTGCGGTTATTATCAATTACTATTAAAATGAGAAATTTAACATTTGATTATGTTCGAAAATTCCCCTCTCTTCTTTTCTCTTCCTTATGTTGGGGAATACCTTTTCCTTTTAGCAGAAATTATGGATGAACAGGTAGTTTACGTTTCACTTCTAAGAACGCTACAGCTAACATTCTACTTTATTTTATAGAGGCTACTGAGATAGATTGGCTATCCGTTTAAAAATAACCTCAGCAAAACCTTCAAACCTAGAAAGTACAATCGTGTTCTGTGTACAATGCTGTGCTGATAGATTGTATGATAGGAGGGTTTGTAGATACGCGTAGCTAGGCTTCATGGGTTCTTACCAAAGTCGCAGCTTCTACCATCAGGCTTGAGCACCATCCCAGTTGAACATGAGCATTGATATCCTCCTGGCCTCAGAAGACACAAATCACTACAGTTACCACTGTTTTGAGCACAAGGATGAGAACCTTTCCAAGAAAAATAAGCATGTAAAATAAGTCAAAAGGCCACCAGTGAAAACCATGCAGACAGTGAAATAGCTTCCTTAATGAAAGAAAGAGATAGTAACCACTTTTTACCTGAGTCCAAGGATGAATCAAAAACACGAATATCCATTGGTTTTTGAAGGCCTGTAACTACAACCTGCTGGTTTCTACTTGTAAGGTTTAGACTTGAAATGCTCTTTTTTACCCAGTCAGTCCAGTACAACACGTTTCGGTACAAGGCCAGGCCAAAGGGGTGAATATCAGCTGCAGATGACATTATAGCCTTTCTACTTCCTCCATCTAGGTCAGACATCTCTATAGTGTCCAGTTTAGCATCAGCCCAGAACAGAAGATTTGCAGCCTGGTCAACAGTAAGTCCGTTAGGCCAGACCAAATTTCTAGTCACAATCGATCGTCTTCGTGAACCATCCATTCCAGCTTTCTCTATTTTCGGATTGGCACCCCAGTCAGTCCAATACATCGTCCTGAAGAATTAAATAAAGAACAAGTAATGAATAACAAAAGGAAAAAGGGTAAATGGATGCAACTAGAAACTTAAGAAAATAGATCAAAGACTGGATTCGATTATAATGATATAAACCGGGCTTTATATATTTCGACACGCAAGTGGTAGTTTGTGATACCAACGCACAATATTTAGCCAGAACGGTGGTTTGAGCACTGTCAAATCTCGTTTCATCATAATTTCTCAAGGAAATTATTTTAACTGATTTTCATCAGTTAAAAGAAAACATAGCAGATCAGACGATCTTTCTTGATAGGTGTTGTTAATAGTAAAGTGTCCAATTAGTTTAGCAAGAATCTGCTTAGTCCATTTGTGCGGTATTAGTGGAGCGCGCTACAATATTCTTGTTAACTGTGTAAAACGCTTAAAAATTTTTTAGCTTCAGTGTTCACCTTTACTTTTTTGCGAGGAAGTAAGATCTTTCTTGATTTTCTTTTTATTTCACTTTTTTCCATCTTTACGAATACAACCAGGTTGTAGCGATAATAACATATAATAATCTTCTACGTCTTGACTTACCCATTTCTCTCATTGAGTATTATCGCTCTGGGCTCGTCAAGTCCATCTTTGAAAAGTAGTTTCCTTCTTGTACCATCAAGGCTACCTACTTCGATCCTGTTCGTTCCTGTATCAGTCCAATAAATGGTTCGTGACATGTGACTGATTACTAGCCCTTCGGGAGTCAGGACATTACTACGAAACAGAATCTTTACGCCAGTAACATTGAAAAAAGCGCTGATGATGAGGCCTTGAGCAGTGTCAGACCAGTACACACGATCCTCAAGTGAGTCAAAGTCTAATGCAATAGGGCGCTGTTTTCCGAGGTGTCGGAACAAAACTTGAGCCACGTGATAGCTAACGTCCAGTGAAATTATATTTGTAGTGTTAGCATCGGCGTCAGCAAAAAGAAGAAAGTTTTTCATCCCTGCAAAAAGAGTTAAAAAATAAAAACCTGATTAAAGGCATGGCAGAAAAGCACTAAAATGCAAAAGCCTGGAAAAAAGTGAACTGTAGAGTATATGTTTAACTTTATGGCTTCACACAGATAATGGCGATGACAAGATGAAGAAGAGAGAGAAGGTAAACTGAGAGCAGTATGTAAAAGCTCATCAAGAAACAAAGATTAAAAAAAACTCACTCAAGTAAGCTTTTATAATAATAACCACGGCTCGATCATTGCGAGAAACCGTTTGTTTCTTATTGCTTCATCGGGTTAACAGACAATATACAGGATGACGTTGTAGACGGAAACAAGATATGCTTTTAATAATTTTTAAAGCCCTCTATAACAATATGCCTCAGTATATTCAATCTTTATTTCAAGTAAGAGAAAATACGAAAAATCTTATGTGCAAAAACAAACTTGTTTTACCTATAGCTGAGACCACAACTTACGGCCTCAAATCGACTTCTTACATTGCTGCTAAGGCTTGGAATGCATTACCTGATAAGCTAAGATTAATAGCCGAATTTTGCCCTCTTAGGAATGAGATAAAAAAAAAAATAAGGAATTTGTAATTTTACATCATTATTAATAATTAGGCTTATATTATTTTTAAACTCGGTAATTTATATTCATATATTTTTTCTTCGGTATATTAGCATCTCTATTGCTAGAGGCCTAACAAGCCTCATTTTCATCCGAGTTTAAATAAAGTCATCATCATCATCATCACGACCTAGTTGCTTCTTAAAATGTAATAAAGTGCATTCGTATTTTATGCATTCGCATCTAGTTGATGCTACAAGTTTCCTAACTAATACATTATATCAGTGATCGAGATCCAATAGAACACAAAACAATAGAGATTGCATGTCCTTACTGTTTCCACATGTCTTCCCATCTTTCTTAACTGTCAATCCAGTAGGACAAACACATTCGTATCCAGAAGTTTTTGGGACACAAAAATGACTACATCCTCCATTGGCTGCAGCACAGCTACTTCCTCCTTGAACATCAGTCAAGCAACAAAATTTAAATAGGTCAATAAACCATTTGCTTTCGTTCCTTAAGAATTATAATGTTAATAATCAAAACATATGGGAGACTTTAGTGTTACATTTGCATAGATTATAAGAATTATGTCCTTGGAGCTTTTGTGATTATTTTATTTTTTGAATTGGATTCGTCATTAGTCAAGATATTTTAGGGAAATACATTTACATTGCGTGCTATTTGCCCTTGAAACTTCGCACCAATCAGTTGAAAATCCGAAACCAAATTTGACATACACAGTCCGTAAATGTATCATACTTTTTCATCATTGATGTACTTGCATGCATACAATATCTTCAGAGGACTTCAGAGCGAAATTTACTTGTAGTTACTATAGTTTGTTATCAGTAAGAAATGAAATCTAGCTTTGTCCTTACTTTCCCTATGATAAACAAAGGTTGGATTCCTATATCATATGGAAATTGTACCTAAACTCAATCTTTGGAGCACTCTGTAAAACATTCCCCAAACTCCTCAGTATACTTGACTACGTTACTCATGGTGTCAAATACCTGAGGGTTGCCGAGTGCTGTCATAAGGCACAATACCCATAGGGTGTCCGCCATTTATGCTGTGGCTACGAAGGATTTCACCAGTTGTGGCATCTAGTTGGTGGAACTCTTTAAGCGTAGCCCAGTCGGTGAAAAACAAGAACGGGGGAACCAGTGCCACACCAAAGGGATGTAGGCCATTGTACTGAAGGATAACCTTTCTATTGTGTCCATTGTAATCGACACATTCTACTTTGTCTAACTTAGCATCTACCCAGTAGATCCGTTTGTTTCCTTCGTCAAGGTCAATACCATTGGGCCATTGAAGGTTTGTTGTTACAATGGCGAGTCTTTGACTTCCACTCAGTGATGCTCTTTCGATCTTTGGTGAACCTCCCCAGTCCGTCCAGAACATATATCTGTCAGATCGATTTAGAATATTTAGAGAATTTTCCGTCACTGGACCATATTTACTCAATACCTTGCCGTGTTATTAATGAGTGCTTTCTCAAAGAAAATATATTACAATGACATGTACAGGAAAAATAAACTTTTCCCCAAAAAAAATCAACATTCCTAAACGAAGTCGGCGAAATTGACTTTAGCTGATATGGGCTTTCTCTCAGATTTAAGGCTGCCTTTTCGACAACAGCAAGCAAGGTGTACAGTCCAAGGAAACCAGCGTAATGAGTTTGAAAACAGATCGCAGACTAAATACTCAATCGTAAAAGAAAGAAGGTCCACATTTGTGTTATAGCCCAACTTACCCACTGTCAAGATCCAGTGCAATTGCTCTGGGCTTGTCAAGTCCAGAGGAAATAATCGTACGTCGATTGTTGCCATTCAGGTCTGATATGGATATTGTATCAGATATGGTATCAGTCCAGTACAATTGCGATGTCCTCCATTCCACTGCTAATCCCTCACAACCATAAATACCACTCATGATTGTTGTGGTGCTGCCTGACTGAATGTGGAGACGTTTGATGTTATGTTTTTTTACGTCACTCCAAAATATGTAGCCCAGACTGAAATGTACGTCTATGGCTATAGCTCTTGACAGACCAGAAACAACGATGTCGATGACTGTAGTTCTGTAATCGACAGCAATGATATCTGATGTGTTGGACACCAACAAACAGGGAGGAGTGCATAAAAAGACTGGAACCAAACGCAGGCAACAAAAGATATTAGTTCGTTATGGTAAATATCATCTCATGCGCAGTCGACAATAATATTGGTTTAGACAATTATTCAAGGTCAATTCAGCCTCTGTAGTCTCCTCCCCAAGTCAAATTATGATTTATTTTTTCCTAAATATTATTTAGCTCCTTCTTAAGATGTGACTAAAGATGACAAGATGAGCCGACGTATATTCACTTTTTTTTATCATCTGTAATCTCTTATGATATCTCTTTGATTTATCATCTACGGGTTTATATCGAATTTATTTGATGGCCTGCTCCCAGTTGGCTTGTTAGCTCAATTGGTAGAGCGCTGCACTAGTATCGCAGAGGTCAGTGGTTCGAGTCCCGTACAGGCCTGAAATTTTTTTCAGGTCTGATTTTCACTATTGCTGAAATAGTGCTTTACTGCGAAGAATCGTTCTCATATATGTAATCTCTTACTCTGGTAAGTTCTTCTTGGTCGTTGTCCATCCACAATTTTAGTTTTAAGGCTATAAAATATGGTAACGAAAGCCAATAAACTGTGATCGATATTCCGAAATAAGCCTATGACCAGAAATCGTAGACAGTCAGCGGCTTGAATGGGAGGCGCGTAAATTTCGATATTTCAAATGGCGGAAGGACAAAGGAAAAATCGTTTGAAAGGCTATTACCGCAGCTTAAATGCTCTTAGTTTTTCAGATCCCATGGGGAATAGAGCGAAAAGAGGGAAAAGCCCTTGCGTTCAATGATGTCTTCGCTAAAAAAAATTTTCCAAGACTGAAACGAAGTTCTGGGGGGGGGATATCAGAAATGGCAATTAACATTAGCTATAGTTTCCTACAAATTCCCGCCATTTTTCGATTTTTAGCCGATGATTTTGTACGGCGGCTTTTTTTATCTCTACTTCCTCGTATATGGTAATTAAAATGTACTTAAACGAAATGGCGGGCGAAGCAAAAAGAAAACAAACAGCTCGAAGGAGCATTTTTACCTAAGTAATGGCTTCACTTCCCCGCATCTCGCTTTTCTAGAAAACGCCACTTTACAAATTGAAAAGGAACCGTATCAAGGGATGTTTTTGGAGCGAAAAAACGTTTGCTTTGCGATTTGAACTTGTTATCTTTCCGATCTGATGATGGGGAACCGAATCGGTGCAACCGTTTCCTCGTAGCAGACTAAAGAAACCATGGGGGTAAGGCCTATTTTAAGGTTAAGAGAAAGAGAAAAGTGTGGCTATTACATGAGATTATTGGAATTAAAATGCACCGTCTCAAACCAGTTTTTTCTCCCTTTTCTTTCGATTGAAATACGGTTCGAATTTGACTCTATCTATTTTGATGATGGAGAACGTTGAGCTTCTAGCAGCCATGGCACGAAATGCAAAATATTTTGATTTTCCCATTATTTCCTTTATACTTCGCAACCCTATTTAATCCGCATTGAACCACTTAGCGCTGGCTCGCGGCCATTTTGGCAGCGATCTTGTATAGGATTTCTGGTTATGATTGTATCTCAAGATGCTTTTAACAAATGTTTTTATTTCTATAAGTAGGTTATGGACTTTTAATGCAAAAATAAGTTCCCAGATGAAATATTTGCTACACAGAATCTTAAACATTTGTTTCGCAAAACACAAGAAAATTCCTTACCCTTACCTGAAATATCAGTTGAAATAATATTTTAACTGATATTTCATGCTGCAGGGACTTATCACGAACAGAAAATGCTGCTGCTATTGCTAATTTATGAAATTCGTGAAAAGAAGAATCCGATCTACCTCTGATAACTTTTTTCAACCAGATCGTGTCCTTTCCATCGCAAGAAGATGTGATAAGTAAAAGATTGATTAAATTTTAATATGACTGCTATGAATATTAATTCTTTATGCAATATTAATCTTTCACGTATATGTGCACGATCCTTCGCAGTAAAGCACTATTTAAGCAATAGTGAAAATCAGACCTGAAAAAAACTGCGAAGGATCGTGCACATACACGTTTCATAACCGCAGTTCATATATATGTATTTCATATGTTTGTTGTTTGATTTATTATCTACGGGTTTATGTCGAATTAATTTGATGGCCTGCTCCCAGTTGGCTTGTTAGCTCAATTGGTAGAGCGCTGCACTAGTATCGCAGAGGTCAGTGGTTCGAATCCCGTACAGGCCTGAATTTTTTCAGGTCTGATTTTCACTATTGCTTAAATAGTGCTTTACTGCAAAGGATCGTGCACATATACGTTTCATAACCGCAGTTCTTATATATGTATTTCATATGTTTGTTGTTTGATTTATTATCTACGGGTTTATGTCGAATTAATTTGATGGCCTGCTCCCAGTTGGCTTGTTAGCTCAATTGGTAGAGCGCTGCACTAGTATCGCAGAGGTCAGTGGTTCGAATCCCGTACAGGCCTGAATTTTTTCAGGTCTGATTTTCACTATTGCTTAAATAGTGCTTTACTGCGAAGGATCGTGCACATACACGTTTCATAACCGCAGTTCATATATATGTATTTCATATGTTTGTTGATCAATCTTTCAACAGTCACTTGCAATCAAAGAGTCCTTATTCTACCAAACACCACACTTAAATTTGTTGCATACCGATTTCCTTTTACTCTCTGATGAATTGACGTCAATTACGTTTAACTCGGAGGTTTTGGAGATTTTGTCAAAACACAGTTATAGAGAGCGTGGTAAGCCAATAAGGATCAAGCGATCGCGCCATGCAGATTACCAGAACAGCCCTTACAATCAAATCAGTCATATCCTACGCCTCAGCAAATCAGCCTTCAGCAATTCTGCTGCAATGTGATTCAGAAGGAAAAATATCAATTATAAATTTGAATGTTTATACATAATCTTCTGCCCATAAATAGGCCATCCCTCGGGGATGAAGGAATTAAAGGCTGTGTTAAATTGGAGGCCTTGAGACTTATCAAAACAATCTCTTCAGCAAAGGCATAAGGGAAAGATACAGAAAACTTATAGCCTTTGTAACGCAATGTCGCCCACAAGTGCCCAAACTAAAGGAAATAATGACGCACAATTGAAATTTACTGAGAATCAAGTTTAACTCAGAGAAATTTACAAAGACCCTCCGTTTAATTCATCAAGAATAGCAGGGTTAAGTTGGTAGGGAATGCTGAACTAAAGGTTTGAAAGTACAACATAATCCTGGTGACAGCCGTTAGAAGTCTGCCTTTTTACTAATCCTACGCCAGACGTAGTGCGAGACGAAAATCATCAAATGTCACGCGGGTGAGGCGCCGCGCTTCGTGACAATAGTGATGTTAAAATCGCAGCTGCAGAAGGAGCCATTGACGTTGTTTTAATGCTTCTTAGCAGCCTTGTATATAGGGTTGTAGATTTGCCATTCACCTTTCGCTTTTCTGTATAGTTTTAGATATTTTTATATTTATCAGATTATTAGATTTTGAATCTGGTCAGATTTTAATGCTTTCAAAGAAAGATACAAAAACCATTCCCTATGAATAATTATTGATAGAATTGTTGTGAATATCATTTTTAGCACTTTGATATATCAAATAAACGTCACGATTATCAAATGTCATGCACCGGATTTCAAATTTGAATGCCGATGCAAATTCGTTTACCAACCACTTTGATGTAATGAAGAAGCTGTTCTATGATCAAAAAGCCTCTCAAAATCAAACTAACATCATATTGTATTCAGGTCGCTGGACTTTTGCCATCATTTATTTGGAAATTTAAGCCATCGAATCCGACGGGATCAGTTGTCCCTAAACATCGAACAATGTTCAAATTCTCATCACTAATAAAAGCTCAGTCGCAGCATAACCGATTCCAACACAAACAATCTAACTGTCAATCACTTCAAGACATTTTAATCGAATCCCATTTTCGTATCCAGCTGCAATTATCTTCAAATTGAATTGCATAAAGTTTAATGCATTACACCTCAAATTTCTCATGTAGATGATTCAACTTTGTGAAGGAGACTGTCGAGAAAGTTAAAATAATGGCAACAAAGAAATCAAGTTACCCGAGGCTCTGTAACCAGCATCTAATTTAAAATGGGCTCCGCACCTACAGTCCCTTAAAATGCTTAAGGCAACGGATCAAAGCCCCAATAAAACCCTCTTCGTGCTCCCTAAGAATTCTTTCTTGGTATGAAGAAGTAAGTTTAATCTACTACGCACAAGTAAGCCTGTCGCGACCCATTTTGGCTCAAAAAATTGTTTTAAGTGCCATAGCGCTTTCGAGATGACTTGTGGCGCAAACAAGCAATGAAACGAGTGAAATACGCCAAGTAGGCTCATAGCCGGTTTACCTCCAAAAACTTGTACTCCTTTCTTACAGATGAGCAGCAGCGCTATTGTGCAAATCCACCAAACCAGTTTCATTGTTACCGAGGTCCCCTGCCATGTTAAAAAGATAAATTTGTTGGATAAGTGTAACTTCCCTTAAGGATACCGCCAAAAGCACTCTGTCAGAAATGACCACAACGAAAAAATAGTAGAAACACCAAGAATAACCGTGTTACCTCACATGATAGCCGTTTGAGAATAAATTGTGGCTGATCCAACAGAATTACAGAACGTACCCAGTCAAGTTATCAAACTTCGCCCTCAAGAATTATGATATTCAAGCCACAACTAACAGCAAGCTCGGTAGTAATTTCATGTAATAGCTTCAGTTTACGTGTGTACTCGGCAAAACAACATACAAACTATGGGAAATGGACAATGATCATGCAAAATGCACAGACGTTTGACGTTCACATGTCACCGGATCAAAATTTGATTACTTTCGCAAATTAACTAAGGTACTTACTTGTTTCAAAAGTAACCGGCCTGTTAGTCTGGAATGTGAAAGCAGTGATGACGAGCTAGCGTACTTCGCACGTATTTCGGTTCTTTGTTTATTTGTTTTGCATTTCTGCTGAGTTATTGCTTTTTTTTTGGTTTTGCTTCGCAAGCACAATCGTGCCTGATCTTTTAATCTGACCCCGTCACACCAATCTGCGTAAACAACAGCTTTTCTGAGAATGTCATAAAGAAAAGGAGTAGTGGGCACAGATCACTTTTATGCTGAGAAGCGGTCTTCATACAAGGTGAGTTTGATCGGAGAGATCACAATTGATATAATTTAAATAGCTCACATTGATGTCAGAATGAGATGAACGGTGTTTAGTTTAGGTCAGCGCCGCCTTAGGAGCAGAGGAATGTGGGAAGAATTGGGACCACAATTTCTTTAGTAAAGCTCCTTTAGTTAAATTATGAACGAATAGCTCGTTTTCGAGAAATAATTCTGAGATCATCTATTCTCAAGGAAAAGTGATGACCAGATAAGATATGATTTCTAGGTTTTCGACAGCAAGGAAGGAAGCATATGATTGGCAAAATGTTTCTAAATAAGAAACGTTTGAAAGTGCCTGTAGCAAGGAATTGCCTGTGGAAGTAGAGATCTGTAGGAAAACAAATAATGTACGGGTATTACTACCCCAAAGGGCAACCAAATTTTAGCAATTTCATGGTCATTTCTGCAAACCCAAAATGCATCCGAATGAATAAAGGCTGATAGTTTCTAAAGAATCTGTTTGGGGGCTGCGTCGGTGGGGTAACGAAATAATTTGAATATATCAACATCGAAACCAGTCGCTAGACATTTTAATTTACCTAACCATTCTAAGCAACACATGGCAATCTGCGGTCTTTCCTTACACTTAGGTAGCACGGAATTAAAGCCGGAAACTCTGGAACAAAAGCTCATATTTAAAACCGGCAGTCTAAATTCCACAGGTATCAACGAACGCTTTTCATTCCACTAATTTTTACTTGTTTTTCTCGTTGCCATGTTCCCACTAATCACGTAGCTCCTTTTTCTGCCTTTAAAAGCACACACAACCCTCAATTCCTCTATTCGCTCCGACGAAGGGCTAACGCTCGAAACGTCAGCTTTTATAATCGTAACGGTGGCCAATTTACCATTTCAACTTTGTTAATATATTCAAATTATTTCAAAATGCATCCGTTTGATTGCATGGGAACATTGAGCCACATGTCCCAAATTGGCCTAAATGTACATTAAATCTAAAGGTTAATTCTAAGTATTGTTGATGCGTTCAAGAGTGTCACCACATGTTGTAAATGTAAACTAGGAATTCAAATGGTCACTTTTTTTCCCTTATGCCGTATCAATGTGAAAAAGCAAAAGCCGTCAATTAAAGGAGCTCGTGGCTATACTGCCGTTATTCCCGACAATTTTTTTTTCTCTCAATCTTAGGCCGTCAGTAAATAATATGGGGTGCTCCAAGAAGAAAGCTACATTTATTGTGCTGTTTTTAGCGCTTGCTACTCATGAAAAGTACGTTAGTGCATGCGGAGGCTGTGGAGGTGGACGCAGATCTTGTAAGTTTCGACCACCTCGTTTTTATTATTAATTCACATTATTCCTTGCACATATCGCCCTGCAGACAATTCCGATCAGACATCAACAAACCAGTCATATCTGACTAAATATAGCGAGATTAATCTCATTAGCTAGTGATCTGTTTCATGATATCACTAGTTTGACTGGTTCGATAATAGTGTCAACTTTGGGAAGATCCAGAATTCACCCTTTTTTAGTTATGTATGGAAACAAACGCATTTTTGCGTTGACGTGTGACTGTAGAAATTGCAACCAATTGTAAGCAGATTTACAGTTTCCAGTGAAAAGGGACAAATGGACCCCAATATGTGTTTTCATTTTCTGTGATATATGAAAGGAAGCCGATTTTTGCACGGGCACGTCTCCGGATAACTGTCAAGCCAGTGTAAACATATCTAAAGTTTCATGCAACAAGGGACAAACTACAACTTGCGCTATCGTTTCTAGTGATACATGAAAGGAAAATCATTTCGCATTGATACGTCAATAAATATCAAGAAATTTTAGCCAGATTACAGCTTAAAAAAATAATAAATAAAAAAGCCGAGACCCATGCTTTTATTTTCAGTGATCTGTGAGAGCAAACGTTTCTGCAACACGTCAATGTAAAACTGTCAAGCAGTGCAGATTATAATTTTTTTTTGTGAAAAGGGACGAACTCCTATTTGTTCTTTCACTTTCATTGCTATATGAGAGCAAACATATTTCCGCTTTGAGGGTCAATGTACAAATTCCAGTGAATTCATAAAATGATGGGTAAAGTCCACAGGATACCATTTGTTAGCTGTTATTGAACGTTGGGAAGTAAAGCATTTGCTTATCACCAAATTACAGTTCAGAGGACATACATATCATCTATAAGATATCTAAAATGTCTCAATCCTCGGTAGTGCTTCGTAAGCACATTCTGAACATGTTCATTATCACTTTACTCAAAGTGGTGCCAACCGGTCTTAATACCTCTGGAAATAGACCGTTTGACCTTTCGTCATAAATGCATTTTGAAAGCTTGTGATACATCATGTAGAGAAAATAATATTTTACGCTTTTCAAGGTCATCATGAGATAATTTTATTCAAGCTTTGCATTAAAATAAAAAAACAGGGGCGATTTCTGAAAAATCGTTGACCTTTTGGAGTGATCGGTAATATCTCATCATCTGTCAATGCAGAAACATAATCCCTTTCATAGAACAATGAAGGTTAAAAAGCAAATAAGTGGTTTCTTTTCTTACATCTTGTAAGAAACAGTCAACTGTCATGTCGTTAAACAGGTTTTCAGCAAAGAGTTTGTAATTACTTAGGCCTAAAAGATTGGTAGGTGAGTACTTTTAAAAGCGGCTAGATAGTACCCGGGAAAACAATGAAATCAAGATGGAAACTTTGCAGAAACAACAGCCATGAAGAATATAAGTTGTTTTATGTTTTTCGCTAACGAGCTGGTCCCTGGGATTTGTCCCAGTTCTGGTTAGGCTTCCTCTCATTCCCATCGGCGAGGGATGCACGACTTCATGCTTCAATCTAGCGTGCAAGTGTCTGTAACCGCTTGCAAGCCTACTGTTTTGACCCTCCATCAAGACTCCAACCCCAAGAAATTCACCCACTAGCTGAAGAGTAACTATATATAAATTATTTCTGTTTATTATTATTGAATTGATATTTTCATAGTTATTATAATATGGCTAATTCACCATTTCTAAGCTCCACGAAATGGTAAATGGACGGACTGGGGATCCTATGGTAACTGCGTTGATGCAAAGAAGACCAGATATCGTGCATGCGACCCTCCCCCAGCTCATGGTGGAAACGAATGCAGTGGCGACAGAAAAGAAAGCATTTATTGCAATCCGTGTAACTCTGCAGGATGTCAGCATATATGCATCTCCAGTGGTGGTGTAGTCACCTGTAGGTGCTCCACAGGCTATGTAGCATCTTCGAGTAACTTCAGGAAATGTGTTCGTAAGTAAACGTTTCGACCGAGCATAATACTCGAATTTCGCAGTGATTCTGTTTAGGTTAATGTTGTTGTTGAAGTTGTTTCTTAACATTCTTCAATTTCGGGTTAATTTCGCTTTTTTCCCATTTTCTTGCTTCAGGAAGTACAGACCGTGTTACAGAACGCTCTTGAACAAAATCAAATTTAAGAAAGACAATCAACAGTTTATTTTCAAAACTAGCGAATCGTCAAACCGTTGAAAGTTATTGTGGGGAATGTCAATATTTTTGCTTGCAATGATTAACAAATGCGCGTTTGAATAGAGTTAATTTCTGACACCCGCTATTTACGTATTTAGTGGCTACCCCTTCCTTAATCTGACTTACCTTTTTCTAGGGAACAGCTGTCCTTCCTTGAAGGCTCCTGTAAATGGTGAGATCTGGCCTACCCGATGTTTAATATCACCTAGGCATGGTGACAGCTGTTTTTATAGATGTAAACGAGGCTTCACAGGAGTTGGAACGAGCTCAAAAAGTTGTAGTAGAGGACAATGGTCTTCAGGTTCTTTCAATTGTCAAGGTAAGCACAGTAACGACGTAGAGATAAGTTTCAGAACCATTAATTGAGAATATTACCACATAAAGAAATGTTTTCCTTTAGTACGCGAATGCCCACCTGTGCAGAAGCCTGACAGGGGAGACATTTCACCTCCCGAGTGCAAGGCAAAACCCTTACATGGCCAGAAGTGTTTATACGAATGTGCCCAAGGCTTCACCACAATAGGATCAAGCGAGGTAACATGCAACGACGGAAGTTGGACTGGATTGGGAGTATACTGCAGAGGTTTGAAGTCTGCATATTTTAACCAATTCATAAATGCTAACCATTTTACTAGAGGGCTCGTGTTTTTGTATTCAATTTGTTATATTTAATTTACCTGCTTGATATCCTGTAACACTCCTTGGGCAGATGAAGTCGCTCACCCAATTGTTGCAGGATGAGGAGGAAAGAGGTGGATAGGTAGACATTTGTAAACCCCAACGGAGTATTGGTCAAGTTATGATTTGATGATTTAGCCACATGTTTTTAAGGAAATTCATCATCAATAAATATTTAACAATTATACCACGAGCGCGCGTTGGATATGAGATGATAGATAGCCAACGAGGCGCGTAGCGCCGAGTTGGCTATAATCATCTCATATCCAACAAGCGCGAGTGGAATAATTGTTTTATTAAAAACGCCCCCAAGAAATTATTATTTTGTAAGAAGAAACTGGATTTTTTAGCTCCCTTTTGATTTTAAGCTGACGCGTACGCTTACCATATTTGTAGATTATGGTATATTGGCTGATATACCATAATGGCTAAGCCAATAAAAAGTCTTGAATTGCATTATCCAATGATCCAGTTTTTAATAAATCTTATTAGACGTTTTGTTGTGTAGTATCGCTGGGTATTTTTACGAGTTGTGTTGTATTTTGACGAGCTCGTAAGGCGAGTCAAAATACAAATAACGAGTAAAAATACTCAGCGACACTACACAAAAAAACGTCTAATAAGTTATTTATTATCCAACACGCTAAACTTTTATTTCAGCGCGGGCGAATTTCGCGGATATTTATTTACGGGGAGTGCGTGAGAGAAGTATGCAAAGCGGAACGGAATTGGCGCGTTGTCGTGTTGCTGTTTCTTCAATAAATGAAGAAATTTCCAGGTCGTCTGGCTGTTTTTCTTCCTTCGATTCATCTAGTAAGCTTGGATGTATATTTTCCAGCCATTCTGACTCTTCGTCGTAAGAGATATGATTCAAAGTGCCCGCCATTTTTTTTCCTAGCTACAATTCAATTCTTCGCTTGCGCGATGCGAGAAAACCTTTTTAACCGGTACTCTACAGTGCAAATACCGCGTACTCGTCTATGGTGTTATTTGTACTCTACGAAGTGCAGTTGGATAATAAAGCTTCGAGTTTTATTAGTCTTGACTTTTCTGCTCTACAACAAAGCGTCCTGCTATTTAGATTGGTTTCTGCTGAAAATCAGTCATGCCTTTTTATTTAGTAGAACCCGTGATCGATTAGCCAAATCACTTCTGCCATGATCTATATCATTCATTTCAACCAAATAAAATATATTAATTTTCTTCTTTGTTTATTGGTTTTTGTTTTTGTTTTTGTTTGTTTGCTTATTTTTTGTTTTGTTTTTTTCCTTCAGATATCCAGGCCCCATCATTTAATGAGACCTGTCCATCTGCTCAAACTGTTTTAGCAGATGAGGGGAAAACGTCTGCCACAGTAAGCTGGGGACCAGTCATAGCCACTGATAACGATCAAGCCTTGGTCTCTGTGTCTCCGAATGTTACATCTCCATATGAGTTTGCAGAGGGAGGCCATACACTGATCTACACAGCAACGGACCGATCGGGAAATACGAGATTCTGCCACTTTAGAGTTACTGTGCTTGGTAAGAAACACGCCTAGAATTTATTGCCTCGGGGTGGAGGATATTTGGGGGATCACCTGGTTCTTAGGGGAGTTGTAGGGGGATTCAGGTGTCAACAACAGATGAACACATGAAGTAAAAAAGGGGAGGGACTATACATCTAGGGAACCTTATCCCAGGCGCGTGACGAACAAAAGATTTAATAGCTGTATGCATTTAGACGTTATAAACGTGATAAAAGGCATTACATGATAGCTATTTATCTTTTTTCTCATCTATTTGCCTATCTCTTGTTTCATTTTCGAAAGTGACCATTTTCATTCAATTCATTTTGACACATCAAATGCGTTATATTAAAGAACACTGATTTTCTTGATTTTAAATGCATGATTATTCGTTGATGTATTTGCCTCAAAATTAATCCTGACGAATGACGTTTCCCTTTCAGTTCTACGATGTTCTGTTTTATTCCCACCTGCAAATGGAGGGCTTGAAAATGCAGCATGCGGAAATGCTTACGGAAGAGTTTGTCGTTTTGTTTGTCACAAGGGGTATGAACTGAAGGGGTCAAGTGAGAGGAAATGTGACAAGAAAACAGGTGTTAATGCAGTTGACTGGACGGGAAACACAACCGTTTGTGAAGGTGTGAGATTTTTTAATCGTGAAAGCTGGATGTGTATGTTGTCTGCAGACGTTTATTCCTTTCAGTAGGGAACACAGTTTTCCGAGAGCGAAACTCAAGGAACCGAGAATTTGCGAAGATAAACAGTTTTACAAGGGTTTATGCCGCAAAATACGAGTCTCTGTGCTCACAGTCATTCATATGTATTTCTTGAGGTGCGACAGCCTATTGTCATTTACGTGTAATCAGTAAGAAGTTGAGGTCTTAGCGCAATTTAATGAACAAAAAGATGCCTCCTCTTATATGATAACAAAGAAACGCACTCTGTTATCAGCGTTCACAGAAACACTTTCCACACATCAGGCTTAAAGTTTGAATAATGGAGAATTAACATTGAGGAAAAGTTATTGAGTATTCTCCAATTCTTAGTAGGACATATTCGGTCCCTTGACGCCTTAGACCAATCATGCATGAGCAAATAATTATATTTTATGGATTGCAGAAGTTGAATTCCTTTCTTGAGACTTTGTGGTTGCTTCGTTCTAGCCATTCGCTGTCCTAAAATAAATACCCCCGTCAATTCAATACAGTCAGGGTATGGTTGCACAGGTCCAAGCTCCACCTATGGCACTTCATGTTTCTTCTTTTGCAAAATGGGATACGAGGCGATAGGAGGGTCACAGAGAAGAACTTGTCGGGAAACGAAACAGTGGAGTGGAACGCAAAGAAACTGTCAAGGTAACCTTGAGGATATTATAGCAGTTATCTACCAATATATGATTTTTTTTAATAATTGAAGCTTTGTCTACAGTTTTTCTACCATAATTAATGATCGTAACTGAAATAAAGGCCACTAAAAGTCCTCAAACCATAAATGTTTTGTTTAATAACAATAAATAAAACGAATAGGGAATCAATTTTAAAGTCAAACCAATATTTATTCAATCATTTGAAAAACTTTGAAGCATGCCTATGGACAATAACTAGTTTATGCCGTAAATCGGATACAGAGGACTACATTGCATTTCAAGCTTAAGCGAATGATGACTGGCATTTTAATGTTACAGCCAGCCATTTTTGCAGAGATTCTTCAGGATTTGGTGAAATTTCGGCTGTGAAAGAAAAATAACGCTGACATTAACTAAATCTTGGTCTGGGAGACCACAATCCTCATGCAAGTAGTTGAATATATTCAAATTATTTTGGAAAGGTACACTGAAATCCAACACCCTTTGTTCTGATTAATCACAGCCATCACATGCCCACCATTAACTTTTAAATCAGAAGGACTGCATACCAGCCCAGCTCTCTGTACAAATACGAGTGCCACCAGGCACTATCTATCTGAGTGTCGGTTCACTTGTAGCAGCGGATACCAATTGCAGGGGCCAGGAATAAAAAGTTGCAGCCAGTTCAAGAGTTGGACTCCGTCAGAAAATCCGTCATGCAAGGGTATGTATTGTGGCCGACGAAGCTGATGTCAAGCTTGTCTTAAATGTGTACTATCGGCATTCTAATTTCTTACTTACCACAGTAGTGATCTAGAGTTAGGGGTAGCATGTGATCGTGTACTCTGATCGTCCGGGTTATAGAAGTCCGGAAAAAATATTCTTTCCCGTTAATAACTAATGTTTCAACAGGCACCTAAAGGGAATATATCAATAGAGTCGAGTGTACAGTTTGCTGTCTCTCTGTTTGGTGAAAGAGGATTGAATACGGACACTAGTAGCCGATGAAGATCATAATTGCGACCGTAATTGCGCAATTTCGACCATCTGTAAAGTTACGCAATTCGTTCCAGCTCGTTTGTTGTATCAAGGTCCTAATTTAAAAGTTCTATTTAGCTCTCTCAATGGCTACATAAAGGTGCGATTTCAGGGGAAGCTGGTTAATTTTTGCCTTCTAACGTCCCAAATTTAATTAACTTTTTTACGCCAAGATATCAGAGAGCCTTTCTTCTCTAATTGTCCATCTAATATCATGACGGCCGCTGCCAGAGGCAGTACGTCGACCCAAGTCTCCTGGTCTCCACCAACAGCAACAGACAACTCAGGTGTCATGCCAAACATCACTTATTTTGGAAAACAACCTGGGGAGTACTTTTCCTCTGGGGAACACATAATCCGGTACTTGGCCTCCGACAGATCAGGGAACGTAGCTGAATGCAGATTTAAGGTCTTTGTCACAGGTATGTTGGAATATCGTGGTAAGATTCAAATTTAAAATTACCTGGATGTGTCTTTTTGAAGCTGAGCAAACTCCAAACTAGCGCCGTCCAAATTCAAATATTAAGCCTTATTTAAAGATATTTTTCAAAATATGTTTAGTTACTCTGTGGACTCTCAGAAATCTTGTCCAATATTCGATTTCAGTCATCCGATGTTTGCCCAAATTATATGCTCCCGCTGGAGGTACCTTGAAGTGCACCAAAGACAATCAGTATGGATCCGAATGTTCCTTAACATGTCCTAGGGGTCGTACGATGAAAGGCTCTAACCGCCGCGTTTGTGAGAAACAGCCAGCTACCTCTGTTGGCATCTGGACAGGAAATGAGACAAAGTGTGAATGTATGTGGAACGTATGGCCAAGCTTTGGTCTTTTAATGTAGTTATACTTAGTTTTAAGCTTAATTTTTAACTTTATATTACAAATAGTTTGAAAAGTGGGGTTTTCAGAATTCTTATACAAGCGGAATATTAAGCTGTTTCCATACGAACCTAACAGAAACCTCTGAATTATACCCATATTATAAAATAATTGCGTTGGAGAACGTTTAAGTGTAGAATAAACTTATAGCTGAGAGAAGCACACGCCTTGAAAATCATAGAAATGATTAAGGTGAGCCCTTAATTAGTCACCCGCTATAATTTTTTCCGTTTGGTGTCTGATGAAAGATAATTGATTTGCTTTGGCATACATCGTGTTTAAGTTTTTAACATTATGACCTAGTAAGTTTGAAATTTGAATTCCTGGGACTCCACCTCGTTCAATATAATTTTCCTTTTTCAATTTTCTATTGGCAAGTAAAATTCTAGATTAATTACATCCCTTGTGGAAAAGAAGTACATCGCAGAGAAAGAAAATTGAAAAACTGTTTTTCTTTTTTTAGTGGTTCGGTGTCCTCGCCTTATCCCACCCCCTCGCAGTATACAGTCTGGATGCGGAAGTGGTTCCAATCAAAACATGTTTGGAGACAAATGCCTTTTCTATTGTGACGTTGGATATCAGATAATAAATGGATCAACTGAGAGGGTCTGTCAGGCCAATGGCACCTGGTCTGGCGAAGCCCTTCGCTGTCAAGGTAAGTAAGATATATAACATAGATATATTAATGATTGCAACTCTTTGCCTTCTGATGTAATGTCATCTCCTAGCCTCCATCTTTTAAAGTTTCACTGATTAAGGTGGCTCGTACCGGTCTTCATCTTTTTGATGGTTTGTAACTTTGAAAGAATACAACAGAAAGACTGACCAAGGCCAGTTGAACACTTTTACGGGGTTGAATTATATAATCATTGGTTATCCAAAAATTGGTGTCATTTTGTCTCTAGCAGTTTCCATGGCAACGCTCTCATAGGCGTATTCAGACGCATTTTTTAGCTTGTAGCTTAAATAATTCGAAAACTAACCCGGTGACCCCGTGATTTTTTTCAATGATTGCTTTTGGCACTTGAAAAGGAAAATGCACGAATATTTTTAAAAAATGCTACAACGCGGAATATCAGAAAATCTAGAAAAAAGGCAATTTTCACACATCACAAATTTCCTTCCGTAGAATTTTCTAATTTTTTTCCTGACGATTACTTTCGACGTTATTATCATATTGGAACAATAAAAAGAAGGGGTCAACGGACTTGTTTTCATGCAATAGCTTTCCTGAGTTTACCAATTTCCACACACGTTCTAGCGCATTTAAAAATCTGGATTCTATAAGATCGACATTTGCTCATGATCTGTTATAGCTACCGCTGACAATTGCGTGTGCTCGCGCGAGCGCCTACGATCTGATGTTTACATACGTAAATTCGCCTTTACTTCTAAGAAATCATTAAACAGCTCTCAAAGACAGGCTCCCGGGCTCATCTTAAAATCCTACACACGACTTCTGGCTACATCATAGTATTTTCCTTGAAGTTTCAAAGTCTTCTTTCACTGAAGGTAGATTATCCTTCACTTGAGTTGTTCTTTTTTCGCCGTCGCAAGATTTCAAATCGGTTGAATATTTATTCAGGATATGAGGTGAAGCAACCTTTACTTCTCCGAAAATCGTCTTCTTTATCTTAGTTTCTTTCTCCTGCATTCACAGTGGCCACTCAACACATAAAATACACGCTCTTAGGTAAACTTCTCACAAAAGTAGAAAAAATTCCACGCGCCGCAATTTTTGTTTTAAATTTTCATCTTTTGATCTCGCGCTTCTTTCGCACGTTTCTCTCGCGCGTGACGGAAGAGTTATCTGTTCCCCGCGCGAGGAAACTAGTACGAGACACCTAATCTGGCGCTTCCTTCGCACGTTTCTCTCGCGCGTGATGTAAGAGTGATCTGTTCCCCGCGCGAGGAAACTGGTAGGAGCCACCTTAAGTACCTATGTTCATAATTTTCCTGTAATACTAGGCATAGTGTTTTCAATATAAGTTTATGCATTATTATTTTCGGAGGGTATGTCTTAGCACGAGAATTTGGTTTCCCCCTACTACCATCCTGTAACCATTTTTGTATTTCTATTTGTTTGTATATGACGCAGTTTATTGAACTTCAGCATGCTAGGAAAAGAAAGTTTTATATGTTATATTATTATTATTATTATTATTATTATTATTGTTATCATTATTATTAATATTATTTAGTATTTAGTTCGTTTGTATCAGTTATGTATGGTTACGAACAGTGATTAAACATTAAACATAAGAATTCAAAGTTACGTTACACGAACGAGTAGATGTTTCTCGTATCGTGCCTTAGGTTAAAAATAGAGAAAATGTATGACAGAGATTTTGGGGCCGAGAAAAAGGTTCAGCAAAGAGAGGATTCTTATTTAATGAGTTTCACTGATTTATTATCTGTAATAAGAATTGTGGGATCCTGGGAATAAAACAACGATTAAGGGACATAATAAAAAGGAAAGTTTTAGTTAAACCTTCGGAGTTGAAAAAATTCCCAGTAAATTAAAAGGTGAAGATGACGGGGCGAATGATTTTACAGAGAAAAATGAAGTTACTTGTTGACAAATGTTTCATCAAGACATAAAGCGCGTGGAAAGTTTGGAGAGTACGAAAGATGCGTAAGAGTTATTCTCTGTGAGCAGTTCTAGCATCCTGCTTTTTGTTATGTAATGATTAAAAATAGAGAGGAGAAGACGACAAGGAGTAACAAAAAGTTTAGCTTTGAACCTTTGAGTCCAGAATCTTTTAGTTGACGCAGTTGCTCGGAAGCACATTATTGCTCGACACGCAATTTAGGAAATAAAAGCTTATTATAATTTGTTTTTTCTCTTGCAGTTGTACACTGTCAATCCTTGCACCCTCCAAAAGATGGTGACGTCATACCAAGCTCTTGCAAAGCTTTCCCTAAATATGATACCGTTTGTCAATTTACTTGCCGAGAAGGTTACAGATTAAATGGAGCGCTCGCAGTGTCTTGCCTTAATCACGGAGAATGGTCAAAGAACATTACTATAGTCTGCAAAGGTTAGTCGTTATTTAAGGTTTTTTCAGAAATTGATTTAACGATTATTTGTGCAAGTTCTTTTTCTTTTGGAAACTACAATACCACGACATGGGTAGGTGAACCATGCTCTTGAATTGTGTGCTCTTAAAACTTAGCAGCCAAACATAATTACGGTGTCTAGAATCAATTGAAATATCTGCAATGAATGTTTGCGCAGGCTTGTTCTTTCTTCAATAAAAAAGGTCATAAGCAAACTAGAGGTTGATGACATTTTTTTACAAAATCCATGATCTATTATTAGCGTTTGACTGCAAGCTTGAAGTGGGGAGCTGGGGTTGAGAAACATTCTAAGTTCTTTGATCTTTGTCTATTTTTGGTCATGGTCAATATCTATTGTAACTGTGAATTGCTGAAGGTATTTGTCGCCAAATGTTTTTTTGTTTTGTAAATATCACAGATGTGGAAAGCCCATCCTTTGGTTTAACTTGCCCTAATGACATCAAACAGTACGCTGATCGGGCAACAAATTATTCAACAGTAACTTGGCCTCCTGTAATTCCAACTGACAATTCAGGGAAGAAACTAAATCTGACCTCCTCTGGAGTGGAAAAAATATATTACGAGGGAAAACATCAAGTTATTTACAATGCCACGGATGAAGCAGGAAATTACAAGATCTGCAAATTTTACATCACTGTTGAAGGTAGGCTGTTACCAACTGACTTCTCAAATAAGGGGGCTGTGCAAATTAACCAATTGTAAATTAATACTTTTAGTTCTGCATCTTATGATGGATAGCCTACGCTGCTGGTCTTCGGCGGGCAATAATGCTAAAGGAATTTTTTTCACAAATATTTGACAATTTTTCTTCTTTTTAGTTATAAGATGCCAAACATTGCTACCTCCATTAAATGGCTTTCTCGTCGGAGACTGCAGCAGCACTTACGGGTCTACCTGCAAATATAATTGCAACAACGGATACAACTTGCTTGGATCAGAGAATGTGACATGCTTGCACAGACCTGGACACATCATAGGGTACTGGGACAAACCAGTGCCAGTCTGCAAAGGTACAAGTAACGTAGACAAATGAACTAACAGACCGCAGTTCCGAGAAATTTTTTACTGAAGTCACTCTTGGAGCTAAGTAAATTGTCCAATGGCATCTTTAAGCGTGCTAAAACGGCTGAAAAGATAAATTCTTTTCAAGTTCTGTTGGGTTCTCTCTGAGTGTACAAGAACAATTCGAGGGAAAAAAAGATTTGGGTTAATGACGAGATGACTTAATAAAGTTTCTTTCCATCATTTTCTAGTGCGGACATGTTCTTCTCTGAGCGCACCGCAACATGGATTTTTATATCCCCATATGTGTACCTCGTCACCTGTCAGCGGAACAACATGTTTTTTCGAATGCAAGTATGGTTACCAAAGTAATGGAGGGATTCGTCGGTTACAATGTGGAATAGATGGGAAATGGAATGAAACTGAGTCTTTAATCTTAAAATGTCTTGGTGAGCCTTTCCTTTTCTCTCCTTCCTGTCCACTTGGAGTGTTACTCTGAAACTCATCTCAAATGCTTGTTCCTTTTGTGTTCTTTGTGGATATTTGTTACAGTTGGAGTGAAGCATAGGTTTTAGAGTGGTTTCCTTCTAATGTATATGCATGATGATAAAGGGGTGGATTCGAATCGTTATCCAATAACAAGAAGTCAGTTATTCAATTGAATTATCAGACAGTTCCGCGGACAGCAAGACACTCGGTTAGTCAGTCAGTAATAGAGTCTTTTTTGAGCTAATTGATCAATCATTCGCTGAATCATTCAGTAAATGAGTCGGTAAATTATTTATTTTGTCAGTTGTTCGTCAATCGCTCTGAATTAGGTCGAAAAGTCAGTTTTGGGAGGTCAAACCGTCACAGGTTCTGAAATTCTGCCTGTCAGCTTATGAATCATGCAATTTTTATTTGATGCATTTCCGCAGATGTGACCTCGCCCATATTCCTCAGCTGTCCTTCAGACATCCGCGTGAGTCCAAGTGTTAACTCTACTGTAATGGTCAATTGGACCGAGCCGGTTGCATGGGACAACAGCAACTTGATGCCAACCGTGACAGTTGATCCACCGGAAATTCGTCCACCTCATGCATTCAACAAAACTACGCTTATTATCTACACTGCAATGGATAGTAGTGGGAACAAACAGCATTGCTCCTTTAAAGTTATATTAGAAGGTATCCAATATATCATTATCTCGTTTTTTTACGTATTAAGGATCATGCTATGTATGGTTCGTTCATTTAATCGCTGAAAATAAAATTCGCCAGAATCAAAAGATTTATTTTGCATAAAAGTGAGACGAAACGACTGAGAAACGACGAGAACATAGTTATCCTACCAGCCGACAAAGGACGAGTTACTGTTGTAATGGACAAAACTGACTATCACAACAAAATGGACGCACTAGTTAACGACAAACGAACCTACAAAAAACTCAAACGTAACCCAACTCCTGCACTTCAACATAAACTCAACAGTAAACTTTTGACACTCAAGAAAACGAACGGCTTTGACACCCAACGGTACTATCGACGGAGGTGCTCGGTACCACAGCCACCGAAACTGTACAGTTTGCCGAAACTAAGCAAACTTGGTTTCCCGATGAGACCTGTTGTTTCTTTCTGTGGCTCTCCCACATACCAGCTATCCAAGTACCTGACGACAATGCTACAACCGCTAACCGACAAATCCAGACATAAACTACAATGCACTGAAGACTTCATTAACGCTACCAAGACTGTTCAGATACCTGACGACTACAAACTAGTGTCATTTGATGTAAAATTACTGTTCACAACTATTCCACTTCAATTGTACTTTCAGTACAACGGTAAACACTACAAACAGTTACACGGCACTGCCATGGGGTCTCCAGTTTATGTTGTTATAGCAGAAATTGAGCTAACCGCCTCCCGGTTAGCTCAATGGATAGAGCGCTGGACTGTAGTGCGCGAGACCGAGGGTTCGAGCCCCGGCCGGACCAACACTCAAGGTGTTAAAATAGTTGAGAAGAGTTTGCTACCTTTCTAGAACATTAAGAAATGGTTAGATATTCTAGTCTTCTCGGATAGGGTGGAAAAAATTGAGGTCCCGTCTCCTGCAGGGTTGGGGCAGGAGACGTTAATTTCCCACACACGAGATCACTGTGTGATGGATGTCCTCCTCTGGGGTGGGATGGGCGGGTTAGGACAGCAGGTCCACATCAGCTATTACAGCT